TCCCATCCTCCTGGCAAATAGAAGGGGAAGATATAGAGGCAGTGACAGATTTTACTTTCTTGGGCTCCGTGATCACTGCACATGGTGACAGCAGCCACGAAATTAAAAGACCCCTGCTTCTTGGGAGGAAAGTAATGACAAACCTCGACAGCACCTTAAAAAGCAGAGATACCGCCTTGCCAAGAAAGGTCTGCATAGTCAAAGCTATGGTTTTTCCATTAGCGATGTATGGAAGTGAAGGCTGACTGATGAAGAATTGATGCCTTTGAACTGTGGTGCTGGACGAGACTCTTGAGAGTCCCCTGGACTGCAAAGAGAACAAACCTATCCATTCTGAAGGAAATCAACCTTGAGTGCTCACTGGAAGGACAGATCCTGAAGCTGAGGCTCCAATACTTTGGTCTTCTCTTGAGAAGAGAAGACTCCCTGGAAAAGACCCTGACGTTGGGAAAGTGTGACGGCAAGGGGAGAAGGGGCATCAGAGGATGAGATGGTTGGACAGTGTCTGTGAAGCAGCCAACATGAATTTGACCCAACTCCGGAAGGCAGTGGAAGAAAGGAGGGTCTGGCGTGCTCTGGTCCATGGGGTCATGAAGAGTCGGACATGACTTAACAACTAAACAACAACAAAGCGACATAGGCAAGTAAGTGAGGGGGCTTCGTTCCTTCTCAGAAGGAGGGAGGGACAGAGGGACGGAAGAAGGGAGAGATTCAAGTCTGTTGGGTGGGCGGGAGAGTCAAGACGCGGCAAGCGCGAGACAGCAGCAGGAACAGCCACCTCGACCACCAGGAAGCCGGAAGGGTCCTCTGACGGGTGCGCAACAGGATGGAGGAGTTGGTTGAGGGGAACAGGGGGAGAGAGGGGAAAGGAGACCGCTGACAGTGAGAGCATCACTTCAGAGAGATGGTGGAACTGCCACTGATGGCTGTTGGATGCAGGTGGCTGGCTATCTGGCTGGGTGGATGGAGAGGGCCAGGCGACGGGAAAGGGAAGGATAGAGGGCAGCGGGGAGGGGGAGGGGGGAGGATGGACGCCTAGTGAGTTTCTGAGAAGTGGAGAGGCCTCTGGTGGGCCCTCAAGTCCTCTCTGAAGGGAATGACGGGAGAGGGAGAAAGCATTATGGAATGGAGATCCCCCGGGAAGATCAACGTCGTGAGCGGGTAGGTTGGAGGGTTGGGGAAGGGAAACCACCTTGTGTGAGCTGAAGGAGGATGGGCTCTATTTTGTGCACTCACGTTGCCCAGTTACACTGGGGGGGCATCTCCCGCTTTTTTTTCCTAGCAAAGGTGTATGAGACAAAAGTTAAGTACTGGAGGGATGGGACTTTGTATAGACTCTTGCACGGCCCTAGGTTTTAGTGTGTAAGGAAGGAGTTGTTGGAGAGACTCAGCTGGAGAGATGCTGAGGACCTTGTGGCTGCCCTTACTATGGGAGCAAGGGAGGCCCTTTCATGTGGAAAGGCACAGGTGGGCAGGGCTGCAGAGAAGGGCAGAGGTGCACAGCTTGGCTGGAGTGCCTGGGGACAT